GGTTACACCTCAGTGTTAATATTTGCGTTATATTATATAGCATTGAGCTTATATTTTCTTGTGTAATATACAAAAATGGAACTAAAAATTCTTGTTTCAGAAATTCAGAAGACCTTGCATCAGGTTTTGGGTGAGATGTATTACTCTTAGGACAGTCTTCTGGCCACAAATAACAAAAAGTTGCTTATAAGATGTTTAGATAACTATATGAACATGAAGATTTATATAGTTAATAGAAGTTCTATTTAGTGTAAAAATTTTTATATCTTTCTCATATAGAAGAATGAAAAATTCAGATTTTCCCTTAATTTTGAGCAGAAGTACAAGTATTGCTAATATTGTTGGCATGTTAACTGTTATTAACGTACCTTTCCTAAGAATTAGAGGATTTTCAGGTAATTGTTCAAAGCATTGGTGATATTGTTTGCAGGTTATCAGATTGTATCTAGTCTTCTTGCTGATCACATAGAAAGTTATGAAATATTAATGTTCTTTTATTTATGACACTTTGAAAAGTGATAATAAAACATTTTACACAGGGCAGATTTGAAATCATCTGAATGTAAAATTTTCAAGAATGAGGCTGATCTTAAACAGTGGAAATCTGATGTTATGCAAAGTCACTAAGAATCACTAATACTTAATTTCACCTTGGCCCACCCACCCACCAAATCTGCAGAGTTCCAAAAGGGATACAGACAAAACACAGAACAAGCCAAGGTGCAAAGGGCAAGGAGCACTGACAGACCAGAGGTCATTTTAATACTCTTGGAGTCTAGCCTCCTAGTTGGGAAGGTAGGCCTTAAATACAAAGTTAATTGGGCAGGATAAAAGACTTTTTCAGAGAGAGAGTTGTCAGGGAAGGCCTCTGTAGAAGTGACAGCTGGGTGGAAACATGAAGAATGAGAAGGAGCTAGACCTGTGATGTGAGTGGTTGTAGAGCAAGTGTTGAGGCAGAGGGAGAGCAAGTGCAGAGACTCTAGTGTGGGAAAGACGGTGGCTTGTCCAGGAAACTGAATTATGTGGCCAGAGTGTACTGAGTTAGAGTGCGATATCAGATTAGGTTGCAGAAAGGCAGGAAGCAGATCCTGTAGACTTTTTGAATGCCTTGGCAATAATGAATTTGGATTTTATATTAGCTGTAATAGGGTGCTGTTGAAAGATAAGGCAGAGAAGAAAGATGACCAAACTTGAGTTTTAAGGTCTCTTCATGTTATTTTATACATAATTGTCAAAATGTGATTAAAAATAAAAAGAAAGTCCATATTTTATGCATAGCAATTTCTAAAATGTGACTGGTAAACACAGAGTTGCTAGATGTTAGCAGTTTGGGGGAAAATAGTGTAGGCTTTTGGACTGTGAATAGTTACTATTAATTGAGGACCTGTTACCTGCCAAGCAGAAAGTGAAGTCACTCAGTTGTGTCTGACTCTTTGTGAGCCCATGGACTGCAGCCTACTGGGCTCCTCTGTCCATGGGATTTTCCAAGCAAGAGTACTGGAGTGGGTTGCCATTTCCTTCTCCAGGAGATCTTCCCGACCCTGGGATCGAACCCAGGTCTCCTGCATTGTAGGCAGACGCTTTACCATCTGAGCCACCAGGGAAGTCACTGCCAAGCAGAGCGTCCCTCATAGCTCAGTTGGTAAAGAATCTGCCTACAATGCAGGAGACCCCGGTTTGATTCCTGAGTCAGGAAGATCTGCTGGAGAAAGGGATAGGCTACCCACTCCAGTTTTTTGGGGCTTCCCTTGTGGCTCAGCTGGTAAAGAATCCAGTAAAGAACCTGCCCGCAATGTGGGAGACCTGGGTTCAATCCCTGAGTTGGGAAGAGTCCCTGGAGAAGGGAAAGACTACCCACTCCAGTATAGTGGTCTGGTGAATTCCATAGACTGTATATAGTCCATGGGGCCGCAAAGAGTCGGACATGACTGAGTGACTTTCACTTCACTTCACTTACCTGCCAAGCGGTGAGGTGGGTGCTTTTACACATCTTCACAGAAATCTCCTTAAAAGGAAGCCATTATTTTATAGGGGAGAAAATTGTTTTGTAGGGAATTCAGTCCTGAATAATCATTGGAAGGACTGATGATGAAGTTCCAATACTTTGGCCACTTGGTGCGAAGAACTGACTCATTGGAAAAGACCCAGACACTGGGAAAGATTGAAGGCAGGAGGAGAAGGGGATGACAGAGGATGAGATGGTTGGATGGCATTACCAACTCGATGGACATGAGTTTGAGCAGGCTCCAGGAGTTGGTGATGGACAGGGAAGCCTGGTGTGCTGCAGTCCATGGGGTTGCAAAGAGTCGGACACAACTGAGTGACTGAACTGAACTGAGGGGAGAAGCAATTATTTTATAAGGGAGGAAGTTTTGAATACAGAAAGAAATTAACTAGCCCGTCAGAGCTAGGATTTGCAACCATGTCTGCCTGGCTGCGTTTTACCAAAGTTTTTTCCCACTTGGCTGTTTTTGCTGGGGGAAGGTAAAAGGAAGAAGGTTGAAGACTAAAGAAAAGAAAAGTGCTCTTACTATAATAAATTTTTATTGAATAAATTCACAGATTTTTCATTTTGAAGCGTGATTGGAAAGGTAGATGCTATAAATTAGAACAATCAAATTGAATTTCTGTATTAGGACATTATGATCTTGAAAAAGAATTTCTGATCCAGCTTTGATTATAACTGACATTCATTTTTTAAATGATATATCTGTACCGTAAAAACTTTTCAAAACGTGTTTATCAGTTAAAATCATACATGTAATATTAACAACTAGCCACTTATCTAACTTGAAATTCCCAGGAAAGGAGTTCTGCATGCTTCATAGATTGAGTTTTTGGAGGAATTAGCTGTACGGGGCAGAGAGAGGACATTGATTGTTGTATAGCAAAACGGGATAGAAAACATTTGTTAATGCATAAGTGTTCCCTGTTCTTAATAGATAACATTAGTATATTTGGTTGAGCCCTTAGGATGTTGAATTACTTGAACTCACTTTTAAATGTTTTAACTATAAATTGAGAACCAGAAGCAAGAGAGCCTGAACTCTATGGTGATAGTGAACTCTGAGAGCTCAGGAAGGATGAAATATGGGATTAAGGATTGACTGGATGGAATAGGATGATCAAAAGTAATGTCAAAGAGTAAAAGAAATATGAAGTCCATCGACATTAGTCTCTTGGCTTAGAGTGAAGAGATAATTTTCCTAGGATGAATAACACTGTACAGAGCACTTAAATTTGTAGGTGTATAAAAATGTTTGCTTATCCTTCTGTTCCATATTCCTGCTACTGTCAATAACTTTGAACCTCTTTAGGCAGTAAGACAGCTAGATATCTTTTTATTTCTGCCAGTATTCATATCCTATGTGTTTTTTTTTTTTTTAACTCTGGGTACAATACAATTTAAAATAATTATTGGCCACATAATTAAAGTGTGCAGTGAGTGTTATGATTTGTTGATATTTGGGAGTGGGGGCATTTCAGCTGAAATGAGTTTCTTGTGGATATTTTCCTTTCATAAGATGGAATTCCATCAAGAAGTGTGAAATATTCTATCAAAAAGTGAGGAATAGCCTATCAAGAAGTGAGAGCTATTCCATTAAGAAGTGAGAAATTTGCAGAGACTTGGGAACATAGAAGAGATCAGATAGGATCATTAAACCTATTTCAGAATAATTTGTATGGTGACTCTGGTTGTAGTAAACTAAAATTAAACAAACTTGAGTGGATAGGGAATCAGAACCCTGGTGAGAAGTATAGGACGGTTTTTATACAAAGTCAGCTGAGAAGTGAGTGTCTGATGACACTTCTACTGTGACAAAGGAAAAGTGGTTAAAGACAGTGGTGATGGATCTTTTGAAAAATAATCCTCTGTCCTCAACAAAGGATTAATCACCACCACCAACAGAAAATTTGTTTTTAAAAAGATGACAAGGATGTGTTAAGCAATTGTTCATAGTTTTTAAAGTAAACAATACAGAAATCAATGAAGTGAAAACCCTTCTCTCTATATCCTCTCCATCAGCAGCAGCTCAATCCCGCTACTCTACCTGGGAGAAAACTCTATTGACTGTTTAGTGCTTATTCTTCCAGACTTCTCCCTCTATATTTACATTTAAATATATACACATACACATATATACTCATGTGTACATATATTTTAATGTAAGTGGGATCATCTTAATGTTTTTTTATTTAGCAAATATATGCATTTTGACAATCATTAAATCTCAGTATATGAATATACCCTAGACTTTTCATATTGTTCCCGTCTAGGCACACTATATATATAAAGATGAAAATAGCTTTATTTCTGCTTAAAGAAACAATGAAACCACAAAAGTAGTAGCACAAAACAGAGCTAAATTTTTAAAAATAATCTTAGGACAAAGAAAACCTTTTAAAATATAACAGGTTTACTTTTAGGTAGCTAAAATGTATTAGCTAAAAATCAGAGTAGAAAAAAGAACATTTACAAAACATCGTTATCTATACCCAAAGATTACTTGTAGTCAATAGGATGAATAATCCATTAGAAAAATGGACAGAGTGTGTAGTGAATTTATGAAAGAAATACAGCCAGTAAACATGGAAGAGATACCTCGTTACCAAAGAATCATTTCCATTTTCTGCGTCTTTTACATTCTGTAGAAAATTTCACTTTTTGAATACTAGAATTTTAAATATTTCTAAATCTTATTATAGGGTTACAATAAAGCTTCTACTAGATATTCATATCATCTAGCAAGTCTGGATTATTTCCAGTAGCAGGGTCTTTTTTCCTAAATGGGTCAAGTTTTGATTTCCTAATGAAAAGTAGGTTTTATTAATTAGATGTGAATATGAATTTATTGGATATTCATAGTAAAATGACTATATTTTTGTATCATACCTAAAGGAGAAGTCCAAAAAAATTTTTGGACATATTATATTTTCTTACAGAAATAATAGAGAAAAGTTTTGTTTAACTTTGTTCTTTCTCTTTATTATTTTTATAGGATCCAGCATTCGGACATTCACTCCATTTTATTTTTTGGCGGAACCAGTGGATACACTCTCCGTTAGAGGCTCTTCTGTTATATTAAACTGTTCAGCATATTCTGAGCCTTCTCCAAAAATTGAATGGAAAAAAGATGGAACTCTTTTAAACTTAGTGTCAGATGATCGACGCCAGCTTCTCACAGATGGGTCTTTGTTTATCAGCAGTGTGGTGCATTCCAAACACAACAAACCTGATGAAGGTTATTACCAGTGTGTAGCCACTGTTGAGAGTCTTGGAACTATTGTCAGCAGAACAGCCAAGCTCACAGTAGCAGGTAAGTTTCGCTGAATAATTTATTTGTATTTTGAAGTTTTCATGAAGAGTAAATCTTGGTAAAAGTGGTGTTATCCTAGTGTTTTCATTAAATTGGTCACAGCAAGTACACTCATTTAACAAGCATCAGTTGAGCATATACTGTGTGTAGGATTATGCTCGGATTTGCTCGTTCTGTAGGGAGAAAGCTGGAACACTTTTCCCTTTCTGATGGCTTCAGGGTGTTATCAGAAGTACTGAACCAGGTCTTCTAATCTTTTTAACCTGGAAATGACAAAAGTTGTGTAGGAAAGTTGAGTTACTTTGATTATGAACTTTTATCCTACCCAGCATAACCATTTAGTGTGATTCTGTAAAGCTTGTAGTATAGCCAGAGACTTGGTTCTTTATGCCTTAAACGGGGAAATGACATTTAATTGGATTTTTAAAAATCTGTAGGATGTATGTATGTGTGTATACACGTGTGTGTGTGTATATACACACACATATATAAATACGTATATATATAAACACGTGTGTGTGTGTGTGTGTGTAGGATTCCCAGGTGGGTCAGTGGTAGAGAGTCCTTCTGCTAATGCAGGAGATGTAGGTTAGATCCCTCGGTCAGGAAGATCACCTGGAGTAGGAAATGGCAACTTACTCCAGTATTCTTGCTTGTAAAGTTCCATGGGCAGAACCTGGCAGTCTACAGTCCTATAGTCCATGGGGTCGCAGAGAATTAGACACGACTAAGCATGCACACACGCATGCATGTATGCCTATGTGTGTGTGTGTGTGTGTGTGTGTGTATGAATGAGTAGAGTAGAAATGAGTATGAGTAGAAAAGTTGTAAAGAGAAAAAAGTCACTCCCTTTTAGAGCATTCCTATTTGAAGAATGTTGGAAAGTGTAATAGCAATTAAAGATCTAGAAGAGTAAGCTATGTTTCCTAAAGAGGTGTAGTGGACAAACATTCAGATCAGTGTTTCTACACTTGAGAATCAGATGAAGTAAGTTCTTGTAAAGGGTCACTTTGTACAAAAATTGTTTTATCTTTGGTTTATATTCTCACCTTGGTGAAATGTGAACATGTGAAAAAAGAGTATGTCTGAGACAGTAGTTTCCTATCTTATTCCCATTCCAGTCATGGTCCCCCATCCCCTGCTCACTCCAGGTTGTATTAATATTTGCTCATTCACTCAGTGTATGATGGCTCTTTTCTTCTTTGGAGCCAAATACTCAAAGTTGAATTTGAGTGTGATGTGTAGTCACTGTAATTATTTCATAATCACAGATTGAGGATTGAGGCGGGGGGGAAGAATCAGGCCTCTTGACAATTTGCCTTTTCCTTTTTTTCTTCTTTCTTTTAAAATTCCTTTTTTGCCAGGCTGTCTCCAACTGTTGATAAATTAGTTAGCATTATGACTGACTGCCTGTATAACTCAGGTTCTTGAACTGGGCTTTTAATCTTGACTCATTCCTCTCAACTGTCCCCCACATCCAGTCACCAAATCCACTGAATTCTGCTTCCTAATTTCTCTGTACTTGATTCACATGCCCCCTCCTGAGGCCACTCCTGGTCATCCCTCAGCACAGCCGAGTAACTGTCTGGCATCTCGTTTTTTCCCTTCTCTTACCCCATCTCCACTCTGTGGTCAGAGGACTCTTTCTCACCCTTCAGTGATCTAATGTAAACTGCATCAAGTTAATGGCTGAACTCTAACAGGCTTCTTGAGTCCTTTTATGAGCTGGCCTCCAGTTCTCCAACTTCGTTTCTTAGCACTCCGCCCAGAAAGGGGAAACAGCTTACATGTCTATCAAGTGATGGATGGATAACTACAATGTAGTATATTCATACATGGAATATTATTCAGCAATAATGAAAATGAAGTGCTGAGATATATATATATATTATACACACACACACACACACACACATATATATTCAGTTCAGTTCAGTCACTCAGTCGTGTCTGACTTTTTGTGACCCCATGAACCACAGCACACCAGGCCTCCCTGTCCATCACCAGCTCCCGGAGTTCACACAAACCCATGTCCATTGAGTCAGTGATGCCATCCAACCATCTCATCCTCTGTCGTCCCCTTCTCCTCCCGCCCTCAGTCTTTCCCAGCATCAGGGTCTTTTCAAATGAGTCATCAGCTCTTCACATCAGGTGGCCAAAATATTGGAGTTTCAGCTTCAACATCAGTCCCTCCAATGAACACCCAGGACTGATCTCCTTTAGGATGGACTGGCTAGATCTTCTTGCAGTCCAAGAGACTTTCAAGAGTCTTCTCCAACACCATAGTTCAAAAGCATCAATTCTTCAGCACTCAGCTTTCTTTATAGTCCAACTCTCACATCCATACATGACTACTGGAAAAACCATAGCCTTGACTAGACGGACCTTTGTTGACAAAGTAATGTCTCTGCTTTCTAATATGCTGTCCAGATTGGTCCTAACTTTCCTTCCAAGGAGCAAATCGTCTTTTAATTTCATGGCTGCAGTATCATCTGCAGTGATTTTGGAGCCCCAAAATAAAGTCAGCCACTGTATATAGTAACATGAATAAGCCTTAAAAGCAGTGTGATAAGTGAAATAAGTCACTCACAGAAGACCACATATCATATGACTTCATATATATTAAATGTCCAGAGTAGGCAAATATATAGAGCCAAACAAAAGGTAGATTGGTGGTTTTCTAGGACTGGAGATGGGAGGAATAAGGGCATGGAGTGGCTGGGAAAGGGGTGAATGTAAGAAATGGGAATGACTGCAAGTGAATACAAAGTTTCTTTGGGGATAATGAAAGTGTTTTAAAATTAGATTATAGTGATAGCTACAAAACTGGGCTTATACTAAAAACAATTTGATTGTATACTTTAAATGGTACCTTTTAAGGTATATAAATTGTAGCTCAATTAAACTTTTTTAAAATGCTGCCAAAAAAAGAGATGCTGCTGCATTGCCATTTCGAAAGATTATTGATTAGAGTTCTTTGTTTGCAAGCAATAGAAACTGACTCTGGCCAAGTCAAATACAGACGAGGAATTTTTTAAAACCTACTAAGTTGATAGCTCATAGAATTAAATGTGAGAGGTCATTTTCTCTGGGCTGTCTCGTGTCTCCACACCAGAAGTTTTTCTTTGACTGTCTGGGCAGTACCCTGGCTGTGGGTATTTTGTGCCTGAAGGTGGGATGACTGGGTAGTCTAAATACAGACACTGTTAATCCCATCGTGTCAGCCTCATGTCTCACTCCCACTCTCCTTCTGCAGTTCTCCAGAGGCAGTAGGACAAACTGGTCTCCCACGTGTGAGCACAGGAAGCTGTAGCATTTTCTGCCTCGATGTGTCGGTTATGAGTTTCTCCATCTGCTTTCCCTATCCAGAAACTTTTTGAAATCTCTTGTCTGCCAACTCCACATATGTTGTTGTGGGTTTATATTTTTAAAAATTACTCATTTTCATGAGAGCACAGGAGGGAGAATATTTTGACTTTTTAAAACTAGAACTGGTTCTTGGTTTTATTTGATTCCTTTTTTCTGGTTTTATTAGTTTCTGTGTTTATCTTTGTTAATTCTTCAAATTTTCTAATTTCTGAAAAGTAGATATTTGGTTAATTATATGTTTATTTTTTCCTTCAAAAGTCCTCTTGAAATAAGAATATAAAAAATTGTAGCAGGGTTAGACAACTTTTAAGAGTAAAGTAATGCTTAAAATTCTCCAAGCCAGGCTTCAGCAATACGTGAACTGTGAACTTTCAGATGTTCAAGCTGATTTTAGAAAAGGCAGAGGAACCAGAGATCAAATTGCCAACATCTGCTGGATCATCGAAAAAGCAAGAGAGTTCCAGAAAAACATCTATTTCTGCTTCATTGACTATGCCAAAGCCTTTGACTCTGTGGATCACAATAAACTGGAAAATTCTGAAAGAGATGGGAATACCAGACCACCTGACCTGCCTCTTGAGAAACCTGTATGCAGGTCAGGAAGCAACAGTTAGAACTGGACATGGAACAACAGACTGGTTCCAAATAGGAAAAGGAGTACGTCAAGGCTATATATTGTCACCCTGCTTATTTAACTTACATGCAGAGTACATCATGAGAAATGCTGGGCTGGAGGAAGCACAAGCTGGAATCAGGTTTGCTGGGAGAAATATCAATAACTTCAGATATGCAGATGACACCACCCTTATGGCAGAAAGTGAAGCAGAACTAAAGAGCTTCTTGATGAAAGTGAAAGAGGAGAGTGAAAAAGTTGGCTTAAAGCTCAACATTCAGAAAACTAAGATCATGGCATCTGGTCCCATCACTTCATGGGAAATAGATGGGGAAACAGTGGAAACAGTGGCTGACTTTATTTTTGGGGGGCTCCAAAATCACTGCAGATGGTGACTGCAGCCATGAAATTAAAAGACACTTACTCCTTGGAAGGAAAGTTATGACCAACCTAGACAGCATACTAAAAAGCAGAGACATTACTTTGTCAACAAAGGTCCATCTAGTCAAGGCTATGGTTTTCCCAGTAGTCATGTGTGGATGTGAGAGTTGGACTATAAAGAAAGCTGAGCGCCAAAGAATTGATGCTTTTGAACTGAGGTGTTGGAGAAGACTCTTGAGAGTCCCTTGAACTACAACGAGGTCCAACCAGTCCATCCTAAAGGAGATCAGTCCTGGGTGTTCATTGGAAAGACTGATGTTGAAGCTGAAACTCCAATACTTTGGCCACCTGATGGGAAGAGCTGACTCATTGGAAAAGACCCTAATGCTGGGAAAGATTGAGGGCGGGAGGAGAAGGGGATGACAGAGGATGAGATGGTTGGATGGCATCACTGACTCAATGGACATGGGTTTGTGTGAACTCCAGGAGTTGGTGATGGACAGGGAGGCCTGGTGAGGCCTGGTGTGCTACGGTCCATGGGGTCGCAAAGAGTTGGACATGACTGAGCAACTGAACTGAACTGAAGAGTATTATATCCATATGGAGTAATTGACCATCATAGAACGAGAACACCTGGAATTATGTTTCTCATAATTAATTTGTTAGCCTTTAAAGAAACATTTTGTTGCAGTCTGAGCATGTTAAAGTCACTTTTTAAATACAATTTTTTTTTCCCCTTGGCAAAAACAAGTTTATTGAAGAAAGAATGGAAAGAACACCTAAGGAAGAGGTGGACCAAGCCAAGAGAGGCTCTGGCCTCATTTTTATATAATTTTTAAAGGTTACTTTCCCTGATAGCTCAGTTGGTAAAGAACCCATCTGCAATGCAGGAGACCCCACTTCGGTTCCTGTGTTGGGAAGATCTGCTGGAGAAGGGATAGGCTACCCACTCCAGTATTCTTGGGCTCCCCTTGTGGCTCAGCTGTTAAAGAATCCGCCTGCAATGCTGGAGACCTGGGTTCGATCCCCGAGTTGGGAAGATCCCCTGGTGAAGGGAAAGGCTACCCACTCCAGTACTCTGGCCTGGAGAATTCTATGGACTGTATAGTCCATGGAGTTGCAGAGAGTCAGACACAACTGAGTGATTTGCACTTTCACTTCCATTTACAGTTATTATAAAAATTATTGTCTATATTCCCTGTGTTGTGCAGTACATCCTTGAGCCTGTCTTACACTCAGTAGTTTGTACCTCCCCCTCCCTTGTATCACACCCCATACTTGCCTCCCATAACCACTAATTTGTTCTCTATATCTCCTCCTAACCATTACATTCTGTGGCATCTACAGAGTATTTATGACTTTTTTTTGGTTAATATTTTATTTTGAAATTATTACTAATTTGTGGACTTGTTGCAAGAATGAAACCAAGAAATCTCATATATTCACTCTTATTATCTGATAACATTTTACCACATTTGCCTTATCATCTAATATGCACATACCCAAATAAAAATTTTTTTCTGACTCTTTCAGGGTGATTTGGGAATGTTACCCCAACCCGAATACTTCTGTTTATATTTCCTAAAAAAAAGAACTTTTTCCTCAGTAAACATCCATCAAGATCAGGAAATTAACCTTAATAAAAAATGCTATCATTTAATTGATAGGTACAATTCAAATGTCACTAGTTATCTCAATAATGTTCTTAATAGCAGGAAAAATAAAAGTGAAAACTTTGCCCCATCATCCCTCTTTCTTTCCAGTCCTGGATTACAAGTTTAGTACTTAGTCATTCTCTCTTTAGAGTTTTACAGTCTCAAACCATTATTCAGTTCATCCTTGTCTCATTTTGGATTTTCTGGTTTTCCTCCATGAAGGGATTCAGCTTTTGCATTTTGGGGAGGAATGTCACAGAAGAGATGCTGTATTCTTAGTGCATCATATCAGAAAGCATGTGGTGTTTTGTTCCATTACTGGTAGTGTTAACTTTTATTACTTGGTTAAGATTGTCTGTACTATGCCTCTCTACTCTAAAGTTAATAAATATTTTGTACTTTAATTAGTAATAAGCATTTGGAGAAGATATAATTTGATACTCTATAAACATCCCTATTCCTCATCCAACTTTCACTTACTAGTTTTAGCATTCATTCTTCATTCTTTGCGGCATTAATTATCATTATCCCAGAGTTAGCCAGAGGGAACTCCTTTTGATCTGACTTCTGTGTTCTTTGGCTATGTCCATTTTAGTCTTTGGGTACTTCTTTGCTTTCTGTCACAAGATGTTCCAGACTGTTATTTCCCTACTCTAGTCCTAGAATCAACCATTTATCCAAGTAGCCTTAGTTCCTTGAGGTGGAGAATAGTATTTTAGAAATCATGATCAGGTCACCATATGTATTCATTGTTACTGAAGTAAGATGATTCTGGGCTCTTTCTGGACAGAGCTAGGATATTTGTGTGTGTGTGTGTACATATTTTTAATAACTGTATTATTGTATTGTATACAGTACAGTAACTGTATTGTAATAACTGTGAAATGTATATATATTTTTACCTCGCTTCTTCCACTATGAGGAATCTGACTCCAGTTACTCCTAGTACATTATTTACTTGATCTGTATTCCGGTATGTAGCCAATTTCCTGACCCATGGACCTTCTTTTTAAACCTTGTTCCACTATACTTGTGGCCAAACAAGCTGACTTGCTCCTGGTTCCATAACTATTTTAAAGTAATATTTAACTACATTTTATACTTTTTTTCTTTTTATTTATTGTCCAGGTCTTCCAAGATTTGCCAGCCAACCAGAGCCTTCTTCAGTTTATGTTGGGAACAGTGCAGTTCTGAATTGTGAAGTTAATGCAGATTTGGTCCCGTTTATGAGGTGGGAACAGAACAAACAGCCTCTTCTTCTGGATGATAGAGTTATCAAACTTCCAAGTGGAATGCTAGTTATCAGCAACGCAACTGAAGGAGATGGGGGACTCTATCGCTGCATGGTTGAAAGTGGTGGGCCACCAAAGTATAGTGAGGAAGCTGAATTAAAAGTTCTTCCAGGTATTAATTCATTATCTCATGTGGTTTAACTAAAGTGAAAGTGCAGTCACTCAGTCATGTCCAAGTCTCTGCGACCCCATAGACTGTAGCCTGCCAGACTCCTCCGTCCATGGGATTTTCCAGGCAAGAGTACTGGAGTGGGTTGCCATTTCCTTCTCCAGAGGATCTTCCCTACCCAGAGATCAAACTCGGGTCTCCTGCATTGTAAGCAGATGCTTCACCATCTGAGCCACCAGCAAAGTCCTAGTTCAAGGTAGAAAACAAAAAACTATTGCTCTATAGCAATGTCTTCCAACCTACTTTCTGACTTGCTTTTATATAGAAGATGTCTTATTTCTGCCATGTCTTATTTCATGGCAGACAGAGGTGATATTTTTTCTCTGAATCTGTGTTATCAGTCACAAATCCTCCAAACCAGCTTGAGGTAAACAAGATTCTTGGTGTCAAAAGATGAACCACCATGAAATATCTGAAACAAAAAATACAGATTGTTTTGTGTACCTAAGGGAGAGCTATGTTTGTAAAGCATAGTCATCTTGAATAATGCAGACTAATGAAATTTTTTGCAATACATTGTTCTTGGTTAGGAGACTGGGTTGGGAAGATCCTGTGGAGAAGGAAATGGCAACCAACTCCAATATTCTTGCCTGGAGGATCCCATGGGCAGAGGAGCCTGGCAGGCTACAGTCCATGGGGCCTTAGTGACTAAACCAAGTCTCCTATAAAATTTTTTGAAAGACACTGTTCTTAGTGTGTTGGTTAGGAGACTGGGATGGGTTGATGTCAGTAATAGAAGCATGTTTTATCATTGGTTACAGAGGTGAGAACAATGTCAGCCTTAGAAGCAAGGGGTTCCACCACCGAATGGCTAATAACTTTTAGAGGCATTGGATAAACTCATTGGTTGGCTTTCAAACTGAAGACAGTTGTGCTGAAGTGTTAGACAGTGTTTGTTACCATGACTGCAGAACTGTCATTGGTTAGTTACACAAGTTTAAAGCCAGCTCTGGTGGTTGTCACAGTGGTTATAGAACATGTTTTCCTAAGAGTTTGGAGCAAAGAGTCTCATCTCTGCCTGAGAACAGTCTTTCTTCTCCAAACTTAACAGTAGAAAGATGGTACTGATGAATCTGTTTTCAGGGCAGCAGTGGAGATGCAGACATAAAGAACAGACTTTCAAACACAGTGGGGGAAGGAGAGGGTGGGATGGATTCAGACAGTAGCATGGAAACACATACATTACCATGTGTAAAACAGATAGCAAATGGGAAATTGCTTTATGATGCTGGGAGCTTAGGCTGGTGCTCTGTGATAGCTTAGAAGGGTGGGAGTTGAGAGGAAGATTGAAGAGCCTGAGGACATGTGTATATCTACGGCTTATTCGTGTTAATGTGTGGCAGAAACCAATACAATATTGTGAAACCATTATCTCCCAATTAAAAAAAAAAACTAGAAATATCACCCCATCTAATAGATAACCCTATCTTCTACCCCAGGAGTATGATCTTTTATATGCCTGTAAGAGGGTGACTCTATAAAGTGTGAACACACATATAGTGGTAGCCTGATAGTTGCACCATTGTAAAAATTAAAGGAGTGACTGTCTCAGTGAGCAAGTTAAACAGATGAAGGTCAAAGATTTTTAGAAGTAGCACATAGGTATAGGGAAGGAAAAGAAAGGAAACCTCTTATGATATCTCTGTGAGTGGTGAGGATGCTAAGGTCCTGAGCTTGCTCAGTCTTTTTCCTATTTGTACCACTTATGAAGTATTTTCCTTATGTTATCTTTTAAAATGAAGGGGGTTCAAGTCAAATCTCAGTTTGGTGACCAGTAAGGACACTGAAAGCAGGAGCTATAACTTAAACATGTTTAAGCCTCCCAGAGAGCCTCAGACAAAGTTTTGTACATGGGAATTATTAAGAAATGCTTGCTAATTTAAATGGAATTTTCCCGTCATTTTTGCTTAAACTGTTTTATTGTATAAAGCCACACAGACTGAATCAGAATTTGCTATAGTGTTTTCTTAACCATTTTCTTTTGTTTAAAATTTTTTTTCAGATCCTGGTGCAACATCAAACTTGGTATTTTTGAAACAACCTTCTTCCTTAATCAGAGTCATTGGTCAGAGTGCAGTGTTGCCATGTGTTGCTTCAGGACTTCCTACTCCAACCATTAGATGGATGAAAAATGAGGAGACAGTTGACACAGAAAGGTACCATTGTCTGCTTAAAAGCCTTTTTCAGCCTTGGCTTATGACTTGGTCTAATCTTATTTGAGAGTATTGATTAATTTTAAAAAGATTATCTCTTTTATTTTTATTTAAACACATCATGATGCTTATTTATCATTCTTGAAATATGTTTATACACTATATATGATTAGGATGTTTAAAGAATGCTTTTAAGATATTAACAGATAATTATTCCATTGGTTCTTCTTAGCTTAAGGCCCTAGGACTTCCTTCCTTAAGTTGTTGGAAGAGTTTCTTATGCTGACTACCTGAGATGTCTAACTTACTCTCATATGCATTTTGTCAATGATAGTTTTTTCCTTTACTTAAACAGTAAAAGAAAATGTATTCCTCATTTTTTTGTTTTTGACTTTTAGAATCATACCAGCTTCCTTCTATGACCACAAATTTTTCATCTTACACATAAGCCTTTTCTGTTGACATTGACCACTCTATTTTCCCTCCCAAACACTGTCATTAATTCCTTTTGTTGTTGTTCAGTTGCTAAGTCATGTCCGACTCTGCAACCCCATGAACTGCAGCATGCCAGGCTCCCCTGTCCTTCACTATTTCCGCGAGTTTGCTTAGATTGTTGTCCATTGAGTTGGTGATGCTATCTAACCCTCTCATCCTCCCCTACCCTCGTCTCCTTTTTTCTTCAATCTTTCCCAGCATCAGGGTCTTTTCCAGTAAGTCGGCTCTTCACATCATGTGTCCAGAGTTTTAGAGCGTCAGCATCAGGCCTTCCAGCGATCATTCAGGGTTGATTTCCTTTAGCATGAGTGTTTTGATCTCCTTGCTGTCCAAGGAACTCTCAAGAAGCTTCTCCAGTACCATAATTCAAAAGTATCAATTCTTCGACTCTCTGCCTTCTTTATGGTCCAGCTCTCATATTTGTACATGACTACTAGAAAAACCATAACTTTTGACTGTACGAACCTTCATCAGCAAAGTGATGTCTCTGCTTTTTAATATGCTATCTAGGTTTGTCATAGATAAGTGTCTTCCAGGAGGCAAGTGTCTTCTGATTTCATGGCTACAGTCACCATCAGCGGTGATTTTGGAGCCCAAGGAAATAAGATCTGTCACTGCTTCTACTTTTCCCCCTTCTATTTGCCATGAAGTAATGAGACCTGATGCCATTATCTTAGTTTTCTGAATGTTGAGTTTCAGGCCAGCCTTTTCACTCATCTCTTTCACCTTCTTCAAGATGTTCTTTAGTTCCTCTTCACTTTCTCCCATTAGGTGGTATCATCTGCATATCTGAGGTTGTTGATATTTCTCCTGGCAGTCTTGATGCCAGCTTGTGATTCATCTAGACTGCTATTTCGCATGATGTACTCAGCATAGAAGTTGCATAAGGAGGATGATAATATGCAACCTTAACATACTCTTTTCCCAATTTTGAACCAGTTCATTGTTCCATGTCCAGTGCTAACTATTGTTTCTTGACCTGCATACAGGTTTCTCTGAAGACAGGTATGGTGATATTCCCATCTCTTTAAGAATTTTCCACAGTTTCTTGTGGTCCACACAGTCAAAGGCTTTAGCATAGTCAGTGAAGCAGAAGTAGATGTTTTTCTGGAATTTCCTTGCTTTTTCTATGATCCAACAAATGTTGGCAATTTTATCTCTGGTTCCTCTGCCTTTTCTAAATCCAGGTTGTACATCTGGAAGTTCTCAGTTCATAATTGCTGAAGCGTGACTGAAGGATTTAGAGCATAACCTTGCTAGCGTGTGAAATAAGCACAATTGTGTGGTAGTTTGAACATTCTTTGGCATTGCCTTTCTTTGGGATTGAAGTGAAAACTGACCTTTTCCAGTCCTGTGGCCACTGCTGATTTTCCAAATTTGCTGATATATTGAGTGCAGCACTTTAGATTTTAGATGCTCACCTGGAATTCCATCACTTCCACTAACTGTGTCCATACTAATGCTTCCTAAGGCCCACTTGACTTCACATTCCAGGATGTCTGACTCCAGGTGAGTTGACCACACCATCATATTTATCCAAGTTGTTAAGATCTTTTTTGTATAGTTCTTCTGTGTATTCTTGCCACTTCTTAATCTCTTCTGCTTTTGTTAGATCCTTACCATTTCTGCCCTTTATTGTGCACATTGTTGCATGAAATAGCCCCCTGATATCTCCACTTTTCTTGCAGAGTCTCTAGTCTTTCTCATTCTGTTGTTTTCTTCTATTTCTATGCATAGTTCATTGAAGAAGTCTTTATTTCTACTTAATATTCTCTGGAATTCTGCATTCAGTTGGGTATATCTTTTCTTTTTTCCTTGCCTTTCACTTCTTTTCTTTCTCAGCTGTTTGTAAAGCCTCCTCAGATAGCCACTTTGCCTTCTTGCATTTTTTTCCCCTTGGGATAGTTTTGGTCACCACCTCCTGTACAGTGTTAAGAACCTCCATCCATAGTTCTTCTGGCACTCTGTCTACCAGATCTATTCCCTCGAATCTATTCTTCACCTCTTCTGTATAATCATAAGGGATTTGATTTAGGTCATATCTGAACGGCCTACTGGTTTTCCCAACCTTCTTCAATTTAAGTCTGAATTTTGCAATAAGGAGCTCATGATTTGAGCCACAGTCAGTCCAGTCTTGTGTTTGCTGACTGTAGAGAGTTTCTCCATCTTCGGCTGCAAAGAATATAATAAGTCTGAATTTCGGTACTGACGATCTGGTGATGTCCATGTGTAGAGTCGTCTGTTGTGTTGTTGGATGAGGGTGTTTGCCATGACCAATGTATTCTCTTGACACAACTCTGTTAGCCTTTGCTCTGTTTCGTTTTGTACTCCAAGACCAAACATGCCTGTTACTCTGTGTATCTCTTGACTTCCTACTTCTGCATTCCAATCCCCTGTGATGAAAAGGACATCTTTTTTGGTGTTAGTTCTAGAAGGTCTTAGATCTAGTAGATCTTCACAGAACTGGTCCATTTCAACTTCTTCAGCATTAGTGGTTGGGGCATAGACTTTGATTAATGTGATGTTGAATGATGTACCTTGGAAATGAGCTGAGATCATTCTATCATTTTTGAGATTTCAGGCAAGTCCCGGGTGGTGCTGGTGGTAAAGAAACCATCTGCCAATGCAGGAGACGTATGAGACACAGGTTCTATCCCTGGGTCAGGAAGATTCCCCTGGAGAAGGAAATGGCCACCCACTCCAGTATTCTTGCCTGGAGAATCCCATGGACAGAGGAGCCTGGTGGATTATGGTTCATGGTGTCACAAAGAGTTGGACACAACTGAAGTGAATTCCCATGCATGCACTGCATTTTGGACTGTTGACTATGACAGCCACTCCATTTCTTCTAAGGAACTCTTGCCCAGAGTACTAGATATAGTAGTCTTCTGAATTAAGTTCACCCATTCCTGTCTATGTTAGTTCACTGATTTCTAAGATGTTGATGTTCACTCTTAACATGTCCTCCTTGACCATGTCCAGTTTACCTAGATTTATGGACCTAACTTTCCAAATTCCTATGTAATATTGTTCCTTACAGCATCATACTTTACTTTCACCACCAGACACATCCACAGCTGAGTGTCGTTCCCACTTTGGCCCAGCTGCTTCATCCTTTCTGGAGCCCTTTGCTCTTCCCCAGTAGCATACTGGACACCTTCTGACCTAGGGGCTTGTCTCCTGGTGTCATGTCAGAGTGCCCTTTCATATTGTTCACTGGGTTCCTTATCGTCCTGTTCATGGGCTTCTTGCATCAAAAATACTGGAGTGGTTTGTTATTCCCTCCTCCAGTGGACCATGTTTTATCAGAACTCTTCAATATGACCTGTCCTTCTTGTATGGCTTTGCATGGCATGGCTCATAGCTTGAGTTATGCAAGCCCCTTCGCCCCAACAAGGCTGTGATCCATGAAGGGCCATTTACTTCCTTGAGAAAGGTTTTTTCTCAGTTGTATTCTGGTAAGAGAAATGGGTGGTGGTGATGGAGGTGGTGGTAATTCTGTATGATTTATTTCCATAACAGAGTCATCTTGTGCATTGTAGAGTGTACAGTAACATCCCTGGCCTCTGCCCATGAGATGCAGTAGCACTCCCAAGTTGTGACAACTAAAAATGTTTCTAGATATCGCCAGATGTCTCTCAAGAGACAAAATTATCCCCAGTTGAAGACCATTTTCCTGGAGCAGTGCTGTCCAAAGGGAACATGATGAAAGCCACATACATAATTAAAAATTTTCTGGAACACATGGCACTACTAAATACAATAATTTATACAATGTACTGGTTAAAGTGAAATTTAGTTCTACCAAAGCAATAAAGTTTATGTTTAGTCCTGCTTCAGATCCTATATTTACATTTCCTCAGTCAGTCTAACCACATTTCAAGTGTCAGTAGCCACATGTGGCTGGTGGCTATTGTTTGGGTAGAGCAAGTGTAGATCTTCATTGACTAATTCAACGTAAGCAGGTAATCTTAATTTGTGTAGTTCAGTAAACAAGATATGGAAAGGAGTATCTGTCTAGTCAGCTTGGTGATCAGCCTTTACTGATCAGTGGGGATGCTAGAATACAATCAGATTGTTCCTCACATGTTCCATTAGCCAAACTGATAGTACCATCTTCAGTATCACCTGACTTCTTACTGAACACCTGTCCAGTTACCAGATTCTGCCTATACTTTACTCCCTTTCCCCTACTCTTTTTTCCAGCTAAATATTATACAAAGAATTCCTAAGACTTTAAAGGGATTTTTTTAAACCTACACTTACTGGAAACATAGGGAACCTTAAGATAAGGTATACAGAATTTAAGCTCTTAGTGTAGAAATTTTAATTTGCTACTTGTTAGAACAAAGTATCTGGAATAGAAGAGCTGAGATAGGTTATTTTTAAAGCATTTATATTTTATCTTTGTAGAAGTACATTCAGAAGACAAATAATAAGAGTTTGATTTCTTATATAAGAAATAAAAGTGAGAATTTCCATGATTCTCATTTGTTTATTCAATAATT